TTACTTTGAATGTTCAGCAGAATGCAGTGAAACAACCTAGGAACTTCCCCCTCAACCCCCACAGCTTGCAATACAAGGGTTGCGGGCGCGGGCGTGGCAGCTAGGAGTCGTTCTGGACTCCGATCTTTGGCGGGCTATCAGTGTTAGGTGCTATTAATTCATCCTAGTAGTAAAACTCGATTATGTGGTCCGTGAGCCTCATTGCATCGATTATATGACATAAATGTGAATAATACCAATCCGTACGCCTATTAATTCGTTGAGAGATGAGGATGACTAGAACTTTGGAATAAACATTGATTTTGTAAACAATCGCATATGGAAGGTTGACATGCTCCAATTTCTGTGGAGTGTTTTCCCTTCCGTCGGAATTTGGTTGCAAAATTTATCAAAATTCGTGGGTATCAGCCGGGATCATTGCCCAAGCTGTGTAATGGGATACACTGCAATGAAGCTGATGAACTCAAAGAGAAATTCCAAAAAACTCCAATCAAAGCTCAAGAATCATAGGAGTTTCTAGTATTAATACTAGCTTGTACTTGACCGATTAGATTCAAGTTCGTTCGGCATCTCATCCACATCGTGCAGCCGGAATTGAAGGTCTCAGCTTCAGGGGGCCTGAAATTCGCTAAGAGCTCCAGCTCTTTGTCCCATCCTCTCGTCGTGGGTGAATAGAACCAGCCTATCGATGAAAACAAAGTAATTTGGAAATTAATGTGTGCCACTCGGTCCAGCAAACACTCGAAACCCATCGAGTGAGTCTAGTGCCTCTTAATCGATACAGGAACATCGAATAGTTTCGAGTACTTTGGATACTCGACAGTCTGCCGATGGAAGCGAGGTCATATCGATGAATGATATCAGTTTAGTCACATAATTTAGCTTGTAAATAAGAAATGCGAAGCGTTATGCCACGTTATCAGGCATTCCTGGGGTGCGCCATGCGCGCGACACTCACGATCAGAATTTGAAAGCTAGACTGAGCAATGAACTGTTCGCTCAGCTGTAACAAAGATGCATTTCCATACTTCCAACCACTCTGTCGTTCCATTAATTACTCATAACTAGAGTTTATAAAAGACAGCCGTTGCACCCATCAGTTCCTCAAATCCGGTCCAGATAATATCTTAGCCAACGACCTAGACTTATAGGGCGTTCAGACAGGCGTCAATGAGGAAGATTGCCTGGAATGTTGAGGACTGGATGATTTGAGTGCTAGTGAGGAAGATTCCTGTAATGTCAAGGACTATCATCGCAACAGGGCACCTTATAAAGTCATCTCTGCAACGACTACCGCCACCTGCTCGTGGCATCTGCTTTGCGTATGTCTGGTGCTATCTTCAGCATCGATCAATGGACCACCACCTTGTATGTCCCAGGCGAGCGGAGAGGATAGCCGACTTGGCCAAAACCTTGATGGCCGTTGGTACAAGTCTGTCATCTGCTCTCATAGACACTATGGACTGGCGACTTATCGATCCTGAAGGTGAGATGGGACATAAAGGCAGAAGATGGATCGATCCTGAAGGTAAGAAGGGACATAAAGGCAGGAGATGAGTGGATCCCGGTGCTCGTCGCTGTCTACCAGGATTTCCTCCTTTCATATTGGTTCCACTTTCCCTCTCCGTAATCCTATGATCCTCCTCTTTATCTGATTTGACTAATAAATAATAAATAAAAGCATGAAGTATGAGTTTAAACCGAGAAAAGAGCTTTGACTGAAGATCAGGACAGCTGTTCTTTCCCTAAAAACCAACTGGAATGACTCACCATCAGAAAATCCTTGCTTGTGATCAGACCAATTCGTTTCTCACATGTGTACGACTCGCCCCATGCTGAGTCATTTTGGCGTTTATGACTACTGCATAGGCAATATACATCTCTGGCCAGCCTCTCAGCGATGTCACCTCCTTCCCTTGATCGGGAGTCCTCATTAAGCGACTGGGAACTATTTAATCAGTGTAAGAGAATGGACTCGGGTGGAGCATTGGGACCATCTATTCAGGACAACTGAGACAGAAGAAGCTGACGGAACAGTAGTTGCCCGAGCGAAAGATGGGGAGGGCCCCAAGGAAGCGCGCGCGACGCGTCGGAATCGTAGCGTTGCGGTGTCCTCGTTCGTATCCGTGGCGGCCTGTTGTCATTCATACGACAATTACAAAGTGTACATGTCACGTATACATCACTGTTTATATGCAGCTGTTTATACTTGTTTATACTTTCCGCTCAGTAAATGCCCCAACAGAATCATCATTATCATCAACAAAACTCTGCCTACTAAAAAATTTTCAATGCAGAAACTTTGGCGTCGGCTTATTACACTAAGCATGATGGGTGCGACGTTCGTTCCACCTATCGTCACGTCTACACAGCCTCAGACAACTGGTTCACTTCGTTCGTCGTGAGGCTCCCCTCTTTCTCTCCATCCAATCGACGACATATTTATACAGCAGCTGATGTTTCTAACAATGTATATGGACTGACACTATTGGAATATCCTTTTCTCTTTATAAATCCTTCCTAATATCCTCTGATTTCCCTGAAAATCGAGGAATTCTTTTTGAAAAAGCTTCTCTAACCGCTCTGTGGCTTACTCGCTTACTTTGCTCGATAGAAGTAACTGAATACCTGGAGACACGCTGGAAATGAGGTGTTAGAATGTCTCCAGATAATCAATCGGTCCCACCTCTAATTAGCTGGAATCCACGATTTTCCTTTCCTCCCATTTTTCAACAACGTACTCCTCCCATCTCCTCTCCCTTCTTCTATCTGTCGCCTTTTTGCATTTTCAGCTGCGTAGTTGACCTTCCTCGGTTCTCTTTACTCTTACTGTCTCCAGCAGGCAGTCCACGAATCTTATTTACGACTATCTGTATCGACTACCTCCATTTGATTTATTAGAAAAGATTAGTGACATGCTAATGAGTCCCCACAGCCGCCTAAGCTTTTCGGGAGCTCTCTGGGTGATGGTGTTTATTACATATGAGACCGAAAAATGGGGTTAGAATCGCTTCTGGGGGTGCAACGGAGATGAAGATTTTTTATTGCAGAACTCGGAATATTAATTGTAAATTAGGGTTGGAGTGCTTCTTTGGCAGCCGAACGAAGGCAATGGGGCTCTTCGCAACCCATCTGTAATAGATGGCTATCCATTTAAAGTCCTCACGCTGTCTTGATGATTTTTGATGAATAAAATCCTAAAGATGATCGTTCACGAAAACGTGTTCTGCCACTTTTTAGAGGTTCCTCGAGCTACTGAATGTTCCTAGCCCATTAATGGGGAGCCGATTTATCATGATCACACTAGCGGTTTCCTTTCAGTATGTCATCGTTTGAAATAGTTCAGCCTAAGCGGTTTCCAGCGGAACCTCCTCCCAAGACTTCTCTCTTTGGAAAATTTGCCCAGAATTGTCCAGGAAACCGTACATGGTGAATCAACTGTCGTTGCCGATCCGTGATCGTTCGACTTTCTCTTCATAGTCGACCGTTTTCTTTCCAAGTGAAGAAGAAATGTTTTTGAGGTAATTCTGAATCTCGTCTCCTCCCTAGGAAACATTACTGTGCTTGATTGTACCGTTACTCTGTGTCAGTCTCACCCCCGGTAACAAATTCCTGCCCTGATTACATGAAGGACGACGATTTATTGTTGACGACCAAGTATGCTAGATGTGGGTAATACCTTGTTATCACCCACCCATGTTATGTTCCACCCTCCGATACAAAGCAATTCCTTTTTCCCGGTTTTTGGTAAAACCTGCTCAGGCAAATCTCCGGGGGCTGTAAATAGCAATTTCCTCATCATAATCAGAACACATTCTAAGGGAGTCACCTTGATGAACTTTTACCCTGAACAGGACCACAGAAAATCAGCTTCTGCCCAGTTTCATCCTTATTCTTTCTACAATACCTGTTCTTCAAAGTGTTGATCATGGCGACCGCGACATTCCGTCTGCTGGGGTCAGGAGAGAAGGATAGTCGCTTGCAGCAAATCAGTTCAGTCGTAAGCCCAGTTCCTTAGCTGTGTGTGGGAGGGGCTGCGGCTCTAATTCTGGTACTTAACAAGTCGCATTTTACTGAATCTTCTTTTCCATCTTGACAGTAAGCCTTCTCCTTTGTCTCATTTGCTCTAATCTATGTACAGTCTCTACAGTCGAACAAACTATTACTATGTCGCAAATTCGCTTTTTTTTTTACTACTTTTGAGTCCTGACGATCACATCTCATTACAGGGAACGAGCCATGCGTTGGAGCGTTTT